GTGGTCCAGCATTCACATGGCCTGGGATGCAGACTCCCGTGGTCCAGCATTCACATGGCCTAGGATGCAGACTCCCGTGGTCCAGCATTCACTACCCACATCCACATGGCCTGGGATGCAGACTCCCATGGTCCAGTATGGGAAGGGGGCGGAGGGGGGCAGGTAGGTGACACTCTTGTTCTGGGAGAGACACGGAGAGTAAGGGAACAGAGCCACTGTGAAGAGCCCTCCAGCCTTCCTGGAGCTTTCCCAACACCAACTTTCAGGAGGTGCAGGATGCTGCAAAATACTTAAGCAAGTAAAAAACCCGGACAGGCCAAAGTAGAGAATGAAGAAGGATGAGTGGAAGGGGAGGCTTCAAACAGACCCCATCCTCAGCCGGGGTGTCTCTAACAGCTACCTTGAAATCCTTCTGCGTAAATCTTCTATTAATAGAGAGCAAGAATTTTTAAAATTGAGTGCTTTTTTTAAAATCTTGGGGGCAAGTAGGGCATCTCACTTGCTACACAAGCCTGGCAACCTGAGTTCAATCCCCAGATCTCCCATAAAGACGGAAGGAGGAAAATGACTCCATCAGGCTGTCTTCTGACCCCCATATGAGTGTTGTAGCACATACATCCACAGGTATCGGTATCTCTCTCTCTCTCTCTCTCTCACACACACACACACACACACACACACGCACGCACGCACACACACTTATATAAATGAAATCTCAGTAGAAGAGTTAAGTAAAAGGGTTAGTCTGTGTTTCTCCTCAATGAGTCTATCCTCTGTCTTCCTAAGTGGAAAAGCTCTATTTTCTTGAAATAAATATACCAACTAAAATACTTATCATCATCTGGACATAACAGTTAAACATATTCAATTCAGGATGTGCCTTAAAACACAGTATTTCTAGCAATTTCTAAAGGCTAGGTTATTAGCCTTCCCATCTACTCCAATGAATACATACAGGCCTTTTCCCGAGCTGGGATTAATACAGACTACAACTCCATTTTATTAGGAGGAAGCAACTTTAAGGAGTGTTCCTAGGAACACAGTTTTCTACAGCACAGACAGAACACCTTAGGAGACGGCTTCTTTATAAGTGATCTTCCTTCCAAAGCAAGCGACTACAAGTTGTTGTACTAGGTAGGACTAGGTAGGTGCAGCTGGGGTTCATGTCTGGCAAGTTTTCACAATGCAAATTTGGAAACCAGACGCTAACATCCAGGTAATGCCAATGGTTCCAGCAGAAGCAAGAAGAACTTTACTTAAAAAGAAAAAAAAAATCAAATACACTCAGAAAAATGCGGCTAATCCCATCTACTTAGCCAGTATTTCCACATGGCAGGATCACTAATATTGGGAGATTCTGAGCCTCTTGAAATAGGAGAAAGTGGGGCTCCCTTCCGGATAACATGACAAAGTTGAAAAGGGGCAGGAGAGTCCATTAAGCCTTGGTCTCTTGAGTAAGACTGGAAGGGAGGTGGGGCTAGTAAGTTCTAATGGTCACTGGCCCCTTGCTGTGGAAACCCAATGCAAATGGGGTACCTGTGGTAGCCCCGAGGAAGCTGACCGGGCATGTGGCAGGCAGTATGGGCTTCCTCTCCCTGCCTCTACCGGGCGGAGTGATTTAGGTTAACCGCAATCAGTATGCTGGAAACCAGCCCGATAGTAAGAGGAGGCTGAGGAACGCTCAAGGACAGGCTGGCACTGTTTGAAATGCACCTTAATGCTCAGAATGCCGCCTCGAATCCACTGTGGCCCCAAGCATGCAATATCGAGGCAACCTGCGCCTCACACGGCCCACCCTATCGCATGGCCCTAGCCATCCAACACTGGCTGCCTCGGTTCAAACCCTACTTAAAGTGGGAAGTTAAAGGAAGGCTGGTTCCTCTTTTCCCAAGGACTCACGTGATATGGACCATGGATCCTCATCAATTTATTTGACAAAGCTGCTGCCAGGCCTTTCGAGGTGGGAAACCAGGCTGTTTTACATTCATTTCTGACCACTAAGATCAGGGTATTCTTGAGTCTTTTACTCCCTTAAACATCAGTGAAGCCCAAAAGCTGTGATCACAGGCTACCACTCATAAAGTCAGCAAGTTCTTCAGATGGCAAAAAGCACGCTCCACCCCAGCAATTGGAGACCACAAGTACACCCACCACCAATACCTGTTAGCTCAGAGGCCTTGGCACCTGTACCTTGCACCGATTACAGAGAAAGCTCTTCCCCTATGGCCTCACTACTCCTGCCTCTTCAAACACCTGCAGCTCAAGTCAGCCTGGGGAGGAAACTCTTGCTTCTCTTCCTTCTCCTCCCTAGCACACCTTGGCGACAGACTTTGGTTCTACAGGCCGCAGGTGGGAGGGAACAGAGGCATGTAGTCACCAGCACAGTGTGTCCCTTATCTACCTAAGTCTTGGACTATGAAGCACGGGCCTGGCCCCAGGAGCTAGGGTCTCCCATCTCCCATGAAAGACTGCTCACACTGTCTCCCACTGTCCCCACTTTCATTCAGTCAGGACTTTCAGCTCCTTGCACACTTCAATGTTTAGCTAAGTTAAGAGAACGTGTTCGCCTGAGCCAAGAAGCAAAAGGCAAAATTGATGACATAAAAAGTCCGACTTTCTTTTTTTCAGTCAGAGCAGAGCTTCAGACACTGTGATATGAAAAGTTTTAATGAACCATCTCGAAATAGGAATCCTGAATGGTTCTTTATAAACCAAGTCGATGCTCCCTGCTTGTGTGCGGCTGGGTAGTAGCAGCAATTCTTTTCTTAATTCCTTAATTCCCGGCACTTGGCTAGGAACCCAGAACGGAGTTGGAAAAACAAGACCCCATCCATATGGAGTCATAATTAAATAACAAGTACACTGAAGGAAATCACCGTGGTGCTGTCAGAGAATATCATATGGAGTCTGATTGAGGAAGACGATATAAAAATCAAGTGTTAGTTAAAGGCCTCCTGGTAGCTGAACCTTTCACTGGCAATACAAACAACGAAGCCAGTGCCTTTGCTGTTTTGAAGAAATGCTTGCAGGGATCGGGGATGCAGCTTGGTTCTATTTCACTCGGTTCAAAGATACAAAGCCTAGGTTTGATCCCTAGAACAGTAAAACAAATTCAAAATTTCAGCACTTGTGAGGGGGGGGAGGGAGAGGGAGACAAAGAGGGAGAGGGAGAGGGAGAGGGAGAGGGAGAGAGAGAGAGAGAGAGAATATGAATGATGGATGGGTGGTTCGGTAACTGAAAATACTTATAAATGTTTGACCTCCCCCCATGGCATATTTAAAACCAAGAGGCATGTAATGCCAATTCTAGAACTAACAGTAAAAATAAGAAGCCTGTTTAAAAAAAAAAAAAAGGTAGCATAACCTTGAAGGAAGATTAAATTCTCAGAAGGACTTGACATTTCAGGAGCTAAGAAAGTCACATGGCTACCACCAAACTCACAACAAAGGTCTACCTACGGCGGAGAACCCAGAACCAGAGCACAAGAAAAGCAGTGATGCAGGAATAGTTTGCTGAAGGGAATTCACAGGAGCAGGAGTAGAGGAGATAGAGTGCCAAATGGCTGGGCCAGGGAGCGGAAAGCCTTGAAGTTACACGAAAAGGATTTGTGGCAAATCTTCCATTCATACGAAATGTCCAAAGGACAGAAAGTTGGTGGCTTAGATGGCGAGGCCTGGAGATCTCCGAGCAACAGGGATTTCAAACTGATACAATGTCTCTCAGGGGGATGGTGACAGTTCAAAGAACAGCTTCTACAGAACTTCCAACACACTAGAAGTTCATTTAAGTGAACATTACAGTATGTAAATTACATTTTGATACTGTAACGAGTACAACAGATCCATGAGAGTCTTAATCCACCCAAACTAGTAAAAGACACATCCCTGCTGAAGCTGAGCCCCACTCCAGACGTGCCGAGCTCTACAGCGAGCCCACATCCTATCTATCCTGCCCCAGTACTCTCCCAGGGGCATCTTCAAAGTCTAAGCCGGATGCACTCATCATTCGGATTTTTAAATTAAACTTGGATGACAATGCAGGTAACCAGAGAACACAGCGCTCAGAGGTCTATTCGAGGACAGATTAATATGGCTGTGGAGCCGGTCGACAATAACACACAACATCCTTCAAAGGCACACGCAGGGGGGAGCTGTAACAGTTCAGGAGAGACCCACTATGAAATCAGCACAATCGCAGAGCAGAATGCCTGAGTCATAGCTCGGATCAAACCTGTCTGCACCTGTCGCCGTCGGAGAGCCAGCAAGATGGATCAGTCCGTGCTGAGCCTGCCTCAGAATCACACAGTGAACTGTTAAGGCTGGGATATGGAAACAGGGGCTCTCAGGGTCACTGGATCCTCATATCACACAGGCCTATAGACGAATGAATTAACCAAAACCCTTGATTTTCTAGACAACGAAGCATGCAAAGTCAATTCAAAATTGCTCAAGCCACTTAGAACTTAGCCTTCTTCAGCTCAGCTCAGCAGGTCCACATACATCCTCATCTGAGACTCAGGGAAGGAAAACCCTGACCCCAAAACAGTGACCAGATCCCAGGATAAGCAACCTTCAGAGAGCACAGGCTCTAAGGTCATCGGAGAGAAAAGCAACGAGACTGGGCTATGAAAACTGCTTCACAGGCAGGGGTGTCATCTCCCTGCTGTGGTGCCTAAGGGGACCCGATGCCCACGGAATGAACTGGTCTGTGAGGTGGGAGGGGTTTCTGTGACTTCACAGGGCAGACCTGATAAGGTGCTTTATTATTTTATTTTATTTTTTTAACCACATGAGCCCAGTGATATCAAATAAATGTCAAGGAGCATAAAAGCTGATCTTCACTCTCTTGACTGCACACAGCTCTGAGCTGTCTGCAAGAGCAGGGCGGGGTCTGCAGACTGACCTTCATGGACCACACAGAACCCCTCTCCTGAGGTGCCCGTGAGCGCTCCAGCTGACGTGCGTCGAGCCATTACATTACCGAGCAGTGAGCGTCTTACCTATAATTCCACTGTCCTTGCTTTCCAGGGTGGAACTGGGGCTGCTAATGGTCTCGCAGGGACTTTTGTTGGCTGCCGTCTTGCTGACACAGCTATTCAAGGTTGAGCAGGGGCTATCAGTGCTGGGAGAGGCGGTGCTGCTTGTCAGTGTGGAGCAAGGGCTGATGCCTTGGCTCAGGGCTGTGCACTGCAAGGCAAACAAGGGGGAGTTAGCGTGGCTCACACAGCACGCTTCGACACACGTTTTCATTCTGGATGCTAAAACAATGAAACACAGGATAAATGGAGACATGCTTTAACTTCTAGAAAGACTACAGCTAAATAGGGATAGACAGAGTTTTCCAAATGCTATAAGAGATGTCTTTGTTCTGGTTGCCTCCTTTGAGGCTTTTTTACTAAGACAGCAGTCTTAGCGATCCTTCATTGGGAACACAGATTCGTAAAACAGAGATGGCCAACGGGCAGACTTCCTTTCGTTTCAAGCCTACAGAAGACAAATGGGTTATTTGACCTCTGTACAGGAAACCTGGGGGCCGTGTTTCTATAATATTTCACAGCAGGGCAGCCTGATTCCATTCCTGAAGATTTATGGGCTCTGTGTTCAGGAAAGGAGACTGGTAACCTCTGCGGTCTCAACACCTCCCCAACCCGTGCCTCCTCACAGAGACCCCAGGAGGAGGCAGGAGCTCCTGCCCTCCCTAGCCGCTACTGGCACACTCAGAGGTGGCAGGAGGCTGGTGGCTGTGCTCTCTCGGATGGAGAGTGCCCCTGGGAGGACGAACCATTTGACTCCCTCTCGTTTTGTCTGTACCTCATTCGCCTATAAATCCTTTCATCAACCCACTAACTCACACCAATCCCAACAGCTAAGAGAGCGCAGAGAAGCACAGACCAAAGCGGTCAGCGGAGAGGAATGTGCTCTCAGGATGGAAGCAGCGTCATTACAAAAGCTCTTCCAGCCACCTTAAATCACGAAGCCCATAGTCTCCGGGTAGAGGCTATCAGGGTAATGTGGACATCTTCTTGAGCTCTGATCCCTTCTGTTTGCCCTTAGCTACTCCCGCCACCATCCCTGCAAAGATCCAGACCTTCGTAATAAATTTCAAAACACAAGAGCCCAGAACTCATCTGACCAAACAATAACAGGCCCCCCATCACCCACACTGGCAGGGTGTGTACTACTGACTCATTCATCCCCTAAGCAGGTAGGAAATGTAGTCTCTTCTTCCAGCATTACCATGGCTTCATTTTTGTCTTCAATAGTTATGTGTGTGGCACTTGGGATCCCTTCTCCCAGTAAAAAGCCCAGTCTTGTCAACAGTTCTTGAGCTGCCGGAGAACAGCTTGGTTCATTATCGGCCTTGGCTTCTGGAACAAAGAAAGAAGACAGTGAAGACGCCCCTCTGGGGAGCCGGGGCCTCACATCTGGATGAGCCCACACTCCAGCTGCTTGTCTGGAGCCTTTGTGCATCCTTACAAAATGTACCAAGTTTGACAGCCACGCCTGTCCCTCTAGCAGCACGTTCTAATTAAGAGGCAGCGGCAGGTGGAGAAAACTGGGACAGAGAAATACCAAGTGCAAAGGGTGAAATATTTGATCTGAAAAAGAGAATTCCCCCACACCATTATCTGACATCAGCTCCAACTCCAGCGTCATCTGAAGAACGGTCCCTCAGACACCTCTCTGGGTAAGGAAGGGCTACTCCCCATCAGATCCTCAAAGGGCACTACATCCCGTGCCACAGGAGGCAGCATTAAAACCCGGGTGGCATGCGACAAAGAGCCAGGCTATTTAGATGCTGGGATAAACTAAAATCCAAGCTCTCATTCAACAAGACAGGGGCAGGAGGATTTGGGTGGGAAACTTGCTCTACACGCCCCATAGCAGTGAGAGTCAAACCCGGTTCTAACTCAGGTTCTCATCACAAGAACCCACACTGAATCCAAGACCAGTGGAAAAAAGTCAGGATCCAATGCATGGCTGCATGTTCTCAGCACACACTGCCAGGAAGCATGGCATCTCCAAGGCTGGCCATGTGCCTTTCTGTACTGAAGAGACTGCTCGTGTGGGAATTTACTTAAACGCCAAGCTGGAGACTAATCTCGAACCCCAAAGCCCAAGAGCACTTAGCTTTTGTCAATTATGGCTGACAAATAAAACATGCACATCAACCATACACCCATATAACCATAACATCTCTCACTGTAAAACATCCACTGTGACTAGATTATATACAAAAGCTAACTGTGCTCACCAGAGCACAAACTTAAGAGCAATGTGACTCTCAAGACAACGACTCCGTTTTGTCTGTTCTTAACTTGTCAAGACATCTAGATCTATACATGTTTGTACCTATTTTCCCCACACCACACGTGGAAATATACAGTAAGTGGAGGAAGAACGAGGGACAAGTAATCAATGAGCGAGGGACGCTACAAGCTAACATTGCTACCACCATGTTTCCTTCTAACTTTGTCTTTCGTAAGCAACTACAAAATGTTAAGTGAGCAAAACTTTGGTGAAAACCATACGGAAAAGGCTCAGTCACAGAGCAGTCTGGCCACACCATGCTGCCAGAAGAAGGTGTGAGAGAAACCAGGCTGGCGACATCTTCATGAAAGAAAAGACACCCGCCACTTGCTTGCTCTCAAAAACCTCATCATTCAGGGCATCATCGCTCTAGAGCCACCGTGATGAGACTGTTCTATGTTTACAGTCCTGATGTTTCAATGATTTGGGTTAAACTCATAACATCCATGGGTCCATGCCAACACAGGGGAAGGGAACCACCCTAGGGCGGGTGAACCACACCCCTGACACAACCCTAGAAATGTCCCTTCCCACAAGAGACTTCAAATCATGGACAGATTGTTAAAGGAGATGGCACTTGGGAAAGAAAGGCGGAAACCATCAAATCAACATGAACCAGGCACACCCAAAAACGGAATCTGGAGGACAGGTCCTATAGACCCTGCCTTCATCTACCAGCCTCTCCCTTCTGCAGTGTGCTTCAGGCCTCAGGCAGCAAGATGACAGGGGTCAAGGGAGGAGATGAAAATGGGGAGGTAAATAAGGGGTGAGGGGGCAGATCTCAGCAGCTTTTCTACTCCACACCCCTCTTTCTTTTTTAAACAATCACCACACTGCTGTGCCACTGTGACTATGTCCCAGCCCCAGAAAGTCTAACTTCTGGTTCAACCAGAAACACTCTAGGCAAAGGGCCAGAAACTCCACCCAGTTGGCAGCCGGTATAGAGGCTCAGAGCAGCCATACATGCAGGCTCGACTGCTACATTTACCCTGTTGACAAACACTGCCTACGGCTCACTCATTGGAAAGTTCTCCATCCTGGGTAGGACCTGTATACTGAAGAGGGGACATTACTGTTCCACAGCACAGTCACTGTCACCTCTACACTGAGCCTGCAGATAGCTACTTCACGTTCTTGTGCAAAAGTGGGGGGGGGGGGGACAGGAAACAGTCAAGACAGACATGGCAATGAATGCCTGCAATCCCAGTACTTAAACTGAGGAAGAACTGGTGTGGGTTTGAGACTGGCCTGGGCTACGTGGTAAGTGCAGCACAGTCAAAATACACAGCAAGATATTTGTCTCAAAAGATGAAAAGCGAAACTCCAACCTCCTAACAAAACTAGTCATTCAAGTCTCCGTGTCCAAATGAGTTGGGAAACTATGGCGATTCCAAGCTGAATGGCCGAGCTGAAGACAGACACCACAACTCACAATAACCTGTTCCCTGCACTGCTCAACCGGGACGTGGCTAGTACCAAAGTTCAAAACCCTACCGAGGCTGAAGAGACACACATTCTTAATTGCATTTTGCATTCATCAAGTCACCAAAACTGCGTTTCCTCCAGAGGCTCTCAACTGTTGTTTTTTTGGGGGAGGGAGGGAACTATTTTTTTTTTTTTCCTCTGAATGTCAACCTTAGTGACCACTGAACTCCTTCACATCCACTATGTTTGCTTTCCCCGGTTCACAACATCTTATTTAACTGATCTTTCCCTCTGGCAGAAGGACTCCTGTGTGAAGAACAGCAGTGTCCTTCTGGGAGAGGAGAGGTGTCCGCCAGCCCACAGAGCGCTGCTGCACTAGGAACAGAAGTTCACGATGCTAAGATTAGGATTCTCCTGGAAGCTGCTTTGTGTCCCCAAAGTGATCCAAACTGGATTCTACTGGGCCTCTCAGAATAGTCTGCTCTCATTCTGATACTTAATATTAATTCCTTCATCAATAATGGGGATACCTTAACCAATATCTGTGGAATAAGGACCAGGGAGGGGGGGACCCTCATTTCAGCTCACATCTCACAGATTTAAATATCAGAATTTATGATGTATGGATCTGGAACTGAGAGAACAACTGGCCTCATGTAAACCCACTAAACCAATGGGCAGTGATGTTCTCATCAGTAACAATCCCCCCATGGAATCCTCAGTACGGAAACACTGTGGAACGTTAGCCCGTGCACAAAGTTAAAAGGAAGTTCACAGATCTCATCCCGTCTGCTTCTTTTAGCTGTCTGCACGCAGGACACTTCGTCTGAGGCCCGAACATCAAAGAGCTGTCCACCCGCTGCCGTGGCCGCCATCGCTTCAATCACCGTGCCCTTCCCAGCCTTCTTCCCACCTTCACTGCCATTTCAGAAGCCAGATGAAGCCCTCTGCGCTCAGCTAAAGAGAGCTCTTCTGGTAATGAACCTCTCTCAGAACTTCGATTTCCTGATCACTGAAGTGGCCATACGCACATCCTACAGGTCGTGAGCCTCAAAACCAGCACACGTGAGGAAAGCCTCCTAAACCACAAGCTGGTTGGCACCCCCTGGCCTGCACACCAAGGCTGCACTCCTCCACTACATTCTGCTCTCCGGTTTTACCCGTTCACATCATCTCCAAGCGTGCGTGCATTTCTCTTCCTCCAAAAATGAACTGGTTATCATTTTCCGGCCTGGGTAGCTTCTTCTAGACTCACTATGAAAAGCTCTCTCCTTTGCTGTTTACACCAAGGGTTCTCACTCAGGCCCAGTGCACGGCTCCACTTCCCATTCCAACTCCTCTGCTCCTTAAAGCCAGGCGCTGTTAGATGCCTGTTGTAGGGTCTGCCGGCTTCATACCTAATGCTATCTTCTCCCTCTTCTTTTGGGTAATCTGGCTATGGTCTGTCAATCTCCTCTGTCTTTTAAAAGAACCAGCCCTCTGTCGCCTCAGTGAGTCTTGGACTTGCCTTTCGGGCTGCTGTTGCATTGATTTTGGCCCTGATTCCTATTATTCCTTCCTGTCTGCTGGTCTGGGGTTCTTGCTTTATACCTGTTTTCTAAACTTTTGAGGTCCGTTATTAAGTTACATATTTAAGTCCTTTCTGATTTGGGGATCTTTTAAGGTCCTCAGTGATCATTCCATAGAGGAGTGTGCCCCGCCCACTCCCGCAGTCTTCCTTGTATTCAGCAGTACACGGGTACTCGGACAACTCCTGAATACTCACTAGCTAAACGACCTTAAACAGCTGAAGGACACTAAGTTCCCAAGATGTTTGTTAAGCAACTGTGTTAAGAGAGATGGACTCTGGACCAGACATTACACCCCTTTTCATAATCTTAGCCACTTCCTACCATGGCCTGCATCTGAACTTCTAGTCCTCTCTGATGACTACTGTAAGTGTTTTTTACTTGCTTCTTTGTTTGTTTTGGCTTGGTTTGGTTTTGAGACAGGGTTTCTCTGTGCAGCCCTGGCTGTCTTGGAACTCAATCTGTAGACCAGGTTGGCCTCACACTCAAGAGATCTGCCTCCTGAGTGCTGGGACTAAAAGCATGTGCCATAATGGCCAGTTACAATTTCAATGTCCTTCTATTTCATTCTCCTGAGCCATCACAATCCCCTCCTTATTTCCCAAAACCACTATGTTGTAAACAGGGCGTCCATCTGCCAAGCTGGTGTTTCTAGGCCGTAACATTTAAAATACACCTGCATACGAGCTAGCTTTAAGCTATTCAACTCATTAGCCTCTACGTTTTACCCATTTACTCCCACGTTCAATCTGATTGATGAGGCATGTGTGGGTTCAGTTGCTGAGGACTGAACCCAAAATGGTGAACTCACTGTGCCGCTGAGCTACAGCCCCAGCCCTGGCCCCCGTCCTGGGACGCAGTCTTGTAGACCCATAGAACTATAACCTAAGAAACAGAGGACCCTTTTCAGTTAACCATGATTATTCTCTCACACCTCACCAATGCCTGACAAACAGCAATTTCTTAAAGGTAAATTCCAGCGCCAACTTTAATGTGTACCAATTAACTTTCTGTACTCTGGTCCTGTAAAATCCAATGATCTGTTTTATGGGTTTTGTTCTGTT